GATATGTTCTTCTGTGATCATATTGGATAATGCTGATGGGTACGCAAGCATTAGGTTGGCCCATCGTAGTGGCGTTTTTTATTCGATAGTCCTCTCAGTTTCTTTGAAGTTTCTCTTTCCACTAATATTTAAGTGCTCAAACTGGAGTGTCAGGTCGACGAAATTGAGCATTTTCGACAGCCTCTCTTTTTTACCTCTAATTAAAAAGCTAAAACCGCATAGGCTCAGTTGCTAAGTAGATGGCCGGAAGGCTATTTCTCATAGGAACGCTCAAAAGGGTTAAAATTATTCGAGGATTTCAATTTCGACCTCGACGAGCATCAAGTCAATGCCCTGTTGAGTGCAACTGAGAGCTTACTGAATTACCTTATTCACGGAGATTCATGCTAAATATTGAGGAATCGTTAGAGGTCATGGAATGCTTCCTTATCATTATCAAGCATCACCCTCAGTTGATGTTAGACGTTCAAAGTTAGGGGGTAGGTTCTGCAGGCAGTCGCTCCTCAAGAGGGCCCCATGCAATGCACATTTACAAGGTCCGAATTCCCATCTCTTGATCGCTTGAACCAACTTCAAGCTGTCATAAAGAGCACCTTCCTTGGCCATATATATCACAAGTTTTGAGCTTCTTCTGTAATTTGAGAGCCGAGATAAAGTGCAAAAAGTTGTTGTCGAAAACTCACTTTTGGGTCGACTAATGACTCCATTTCAATGAACGAAAAATCAACAGAAATCAAGAAACAGTAGGAAGGCAACCTGTACTGCCTCATAGAGCAGAAAATTATCTATCAAACAATGTAGAACACATTGGGAACATTGTCATTTTCCATATAAAAATTTGTGTGAGAAAAAACGCCATTTTTTATGAGTCAACTCAATAGCTTTCAAGCAACGTAGAGACCTACGGCCCTAGCAACCCCCCCCCTTGCTTCCCTGACTTTTCTCCAAATGTGTACACATTTCTGAATGAGATAGCATAATATGCAGGGAGAAGAGTGGAGACGTTCCAGCGAAAGTGTTGCTTGTGCTCGAAAATGAAAGATATGCCTTTTTTTGTTCTTAAGCCTTATTGATAAAGAGCTTCGGCACGTCAGATTGTACAGGCAACACTGACTACGAAGTTCTCCTTCGCTTTATTACCTCTTTTTAACTTCTTCAGTGCTATTTTTCCTTGAGCTCGAAGGGAATTCAGCGAATATGACAGGGTCCAGTGCTTGGTGTTAGTTGATACCAATTGGAAAGAACTAGTCAAATGTGCTCTAATGAGGCTCGTGAAGCTGCTACAGTATTTGCCTCTAGCCCCCAATTTTGAGGAAACGGCAACTCCTGCCCTATTCCAGATACGCATATGTGAATCCCAACACGGGAGATGCTCGTTAGGAACGCGGCCGTTGGTCTCTAGAGGGTTTTGTCCTGCTTGTGTCCACCCTTTCTGCCGCTCGATGGGGACAGCTTTGGGAAAAGTAGGAAAGAGGGTGGTTGGATCTGTGAAAGCTGCTGATACTCGACGATCCGGTTCCTAGCCTCAACAGGTGGTACAGAAGTGTAGGCTAACAAGTTCATCTTAACGTAACTGGAGTAACGCCCACATCATAGTGCTGCTGGATTATGACGAATACTTCTCAGAGATTAAAGAACGCTACACGTTCGTGCACGGCCTAGAAGGCGATTCAGAGACTCTGCAGAAGTTTGAGAGATAAGAGTTTTACAGTGTAGTTTGCTGTGGACGGTTGGGCGCTTCTCAGAACGAGATGCGTTTGGCGGCGGTGGCTAATAACGTTTTCCGCCATTGTTAAAGCGAGCAAGTGTATGACTGTATCACATTGGCTCGTATTTTTTAGCCTTGTTTTCTACCACTCTTTGTCGCCATGCGCGCTTTCCAGCAAGAGGGCAGCCAAAACGGCTTTGACGGTGTGATTAGCTCTTGACTCCTGGACACGTCCAACAGCCGCGTAGAGGGAACTACATCAGAGTGTACGATTTATCGTAAAACGCCCTCGCCCACGCGCCCGCCCGGAGCGCGCGTCGGAGAGGAACCTACGATTGTCTTGACTGTCTCCCCTTCTCACCACCGCTCGTTGGTGAAATTCTTGAAAGATTCGGGAAGAGGACGGAAGTTTAGGTAGATTGTCAAGAAGCCATACTGACACCGTCATTTTTTCAGTTTCAGCCATCTTCACTGCGTACCCTTATTCCGGAGTGACGAGGTGCTTGAAGGGTGTAAAGTAGTTCCTATCACGCAAGCCGTGCAGAGTCAGGGTGGAAAATTGGAGTCTCCTACAAAAACAAAACTGTTGAACTGCACTCCCACGCCTTTCTTTTTTCCCTTCTATCACATGCATCAAAGATTGGGGCGTATATCTTCAAGCCAGCTTAATTCTGCAAGAAAATCCATCATTGATTTTGTCCCGAGCAGAAGTAAAGTGTGGGTGGAAAACAATGAGATAAGAGGACGGAATTCTCCTCGAAGGTATTTCTGACCCTGGTGAAGAGACCGTGCATGGGTTAAGCTGGAGAAGTTTGGCACTCCCACCGTCGCTGGGCTTTTTAAAAATAATTTTACAGAGAAATGAAAGCAGTGCTAATCCTGTTGGCCCTTGTGGGATTCACACTAGAGGGTCTCATCTATCAAACACCGTTGAGGAAGATCGAAAGCGTTCGAATGAGGATGCTCAGAAATGGGAAATGGGCGGAACGTCTGAAGGTGAAGAACGCCATGAGAACTAAACTGGCACAAAATAAAGACGTTCATTCACAAAAGGTCAGTTTGAACACTATGGCTTCGTTTCATCACAGAAAATGCGACAATCGCATTGAAGTAGAGCAGCCTATTTTCGTGTATGTGCTGAGCCAGCATCTACACCCGCGTGGGTGGTCGTTCAATGTATTCTATTACGGCCTATGTAGATGCGTCATGAGAAATCCCTTCTTTAAAAGTGTTGAGAGTTGAATCTCAGCTTTCAGGTCCACGATTACGACGATGCTGAATATCTCGGCGACATCACAATTGGAACACCTCCGCAACCATTCATGGTTTGTTTGAATAGTAAACAAATACAATTGTTTATCACAGCTCATGGACAGTGTTTGCGCTAAGAGCACCGTAGGTAGCCCTACTGGGCGGACACAGCACTTTGAAGTCGTAGGGTGCAGCACTTTAGAAGGCTGATCCTGCGCACACCAGGCTAGATATGGGGCGGCGAAACGTCCTCGTCGTCGTGGATTGAAGGACTTTCAGACCTGTCCATTACAATCACTCCAATAGCAACGAATCTTCGTTGAACACCGCGGCAGACTATGCGGCGTAACCGTAGTCGGGGGGGGGACGGATCACTCTGTAGCCGTAGCCGTAGTAGGAGTGCAGCTCGGTTTTCGTTGTAGACCATGAGCGCCCTTGAGAGTGATAGTACATTTCTAATCGGTTTAGGTTGTCCTAGATACTGGTAGCTCGAATCTGTGGATTCCAGACGAAACATGCTTCTTCCCAGCTGGAGTTTGCAACCAGCCGAAGTGTGCTGCTGGATGTAAGTTTTGAAAGAAAAATTGTAAAAAAGAGCCAAGTGTTGACAACACGATAAAATTTTCTTTTTGTCATATTTTCAGTAGCTTCTTGAGTGCCCGTCGGTCATGTGAGTGGAGCCAGGGTTATGTGACTGCTTGAACTTTTAAGGATGGCCCCGCTGCGAAACCCTGTAATGCAGACAGATAGATGTCGGAAGGAACCATCGAA